GAAGGCTGCTCGATGCTTCAAAAATAGACAGAAATGCGGGAATTACGAAATGAATATACTGGGTTATATTTTTCATTTGCTTTATAAATTTTTACTTGTCGTAGTATTAGGAGGTTATTGTTATAGTAATGGCTAGATTCCTTTAGAACTAAGCAAATTTTTTTAATGGTTTTCAGTGCAAAGGTGAGCTAATTCAACTAATTCATCACTCTTTGTAAGTCTTCTGAAGAAATGGGGCATAGTTCATTTGAGAAGTGCTGTTGAAAGTTTCAATTATCTATTCATCTGTTGCTATCAAGGATTTGCACTGTGCTATTTAATATAACAAAAAGAATATTTGTTCGCTCATGAAGGGAGCGCTATATGAGAAAAATAAAAAATAAAAGACAGTAGAGAGAAAATTATTTGGTCCGATATGTTGATTGAATTAAATATTTTCATATTCAGGTAGATGAATTGGTTGAATTAAGTGTTTTCATGTTCGAGTAATTGAGTTGATTAACTTAATTCAACTGACCACAGCTTATAAGTCAGTTATATCTTATGTGATTGCAGCCTGTTCCGATCATCTGAATTATATGCAGGATTGTTACAATCGAGCAATTGAGTTAATTCTCGATCATCAGGGATTTTGGTTGGCTGGTTTGCACTGCACTGAGCTCGGCTCCACACTGTGCGACATTGATGAACATCAGCAAGCGTTACCGTTTTTGTTACGAGGTTTGTATGAAAGTCCCGTTTTACTTGTGGGAATATGTGAGAAAATAACTTGTTGTTCAGGATTTTTATATGGTGAGAAATAGAGCAAAAAAGAAGGAACTATTATTGCGACAGTAAGAACATTTGATTGTTTATTATATGTATATATATATATATATATATATTCAGTTGTTTTTAAGGAGCAGAATTATTGAAAGTGGAATTTCGTAGTCACTTGGCGGCTTTGCAGAAATTAGCAGCCTGCCAGATCGAATTGGAGATGTATGCAGACGCACTTGCAACTGTTGATGACCTGTGGACACTCCATATGAAGAGTACAGATAATCCAAAGTAAATACGTTTTTGTTTTTTTTTCTTCGAAAATAATGATTATTCAAGCATTTTAAGGTCTAGATTTCGAATGAAAGAATCTTTTGCTAGATCATTACGTCAGCCTTTTATTAAAATCGAAATGGTGACTCTCTGAATATTTTAGATCGATGAAAGTCTTTTCGATTTTTAGATTTGGTTACGGTGAAGAACTTCTGAAGGATTGCGAAGTAGCGTCAGTACTTTTACTTTTACAGCGGAAAGTGAGGAATTTTCTAATTTATGAGCATATTGTAGCTTATCTAATTTAGCATAATTAGCGTAATTTATCTACCTGAACTTAATAACTAGTACTGTTATTGTACAGTCATTCGTTTCTCAACTCAGTACTTTTCACTAGTTCAGTTTTAGTTTCAGTGTTTTGTGCTATTTGGTCCAAAGTAAGGTAATTTTTTGGACTATTAAGAACGGACATGGTACTTAAAAAAGGTATCACCGTTAAAAAGTAATACTCATATAAGGTGCAAACCAGAACTTCAGCTGTAAGAAGAGATTTTGTGCGTATTCTAAGGCTGATATCGTTGGAAACTAAGGACAGTTTCGAACTTTGTTAGGCAGTCAGATGATACACACTGAAGCTATGGGACTCAAATAAAAGAAGGGAATAGCATACAAATGTATTAAAAAGAACATTTATCACACAATGCGGAGGGATAGCATGTTGATTGCAAAGTGTAAGTATGACTATCTTGATGGATTTTCCAAACAGAATTTGCAGAACGATGATATATCTGCGCGACATCGTTTATTGCTATCAATGTATGATAAGTCATCACTAGTACTTGATGAAAAGGAAGAAAAAGAACGGAAAGTACCATGGAAGGAGTTGCCACCAAAAGATTCTTCATTATCCAAGGATTTGTATTTCTACTTTTACGAATTTGTAATGGCACTTCGGGAGGGTGACGTAGAGATGGCTAAAAAAAGTTTCGATATTCTCGAAAAATCTTTTGATTTGATGTGCAGTAAGTTAGCTATGAAGTTACTAGATGATGTTATGGATAGAGGTGGGTTAGATAAAAGAGGTTTTGCCGATAAATTCATTTCTTGACAAAAATATAAGAAGGATAAGGTATTTTCTTCTACAATAAGAGGTGAATAGTAAGTGGTTGCAGTTTGATGCCAACTTGATAGCATATTCTGAGATAGTAAAGTTTTTATTTCAAAATTTGAAGAATCACCTCTCAGTTTTGTTCAAGAACGGATGACTTTTTCAAGTCTTGGACTGGTGTTATTATACTTCCTTTTTTCAGTATAGCTATGTACAGTACTGTATATTCGTTCTTCTTTGTAATATCATGCTGTATTAAACAAGTTAAATTATCTTCGAAATGTATTTTGTCACAAGGATTACCAAATATTGAGAAAAAAAAGTGTTGGTGAAGTAGTGTTATTTTGGATATTTCAAGATTGGTGAAGTAGTGTTATTTTGGATATTTCAAGACACGACCTTCCCTCTTATCCCCCTTCCCATCTAGACCTGCAATTTGTCACTTTCATTAAACATTGAAGTAGGACTAAAAGTAGGTAACTTGGGTGCATGGTAAGCTTTTACTGTTAATCAAATTTTGGGTTAGTGTTACTGATATGTCTGTCCGTATACAACATAAGCTGTTATCATTGCTCAATTCGTCAAATGAAAATCTCAATTTTATACTTTTTACGACATTCCATAGCAATTTTGGTTATTGTTGCGATTTTTTTCAAAGCAGGAAAAGGTAAAAGCTATCAAATGATTTACAATAATTTATTTAACATTATACTTGGTATATTTTTTCGAATAATAAGATTATTAATAGTAAAAGCTTATTTCCATCGTTTTATATAGGAGGGTAAAAAAGTGATCAGCTTCTGTAAATTATTTGAAATTAGTGATAGTAATAGTCGAGGGAATTTACCGGTATGTGGATAATGTGGTCATTTTATATCTTACTCATTTGAAATAATCTCTGTCAAACTGTGCCAAAAACTAATTACTAGGATGGTCCAGTGAAATGTGCTATATCCTATAGCATTATAAATGTACTAGTGGGGCAATGGATGTTGGCAGTTCAGAAGCAATATTATATGTCATCATGTGATGGTTGATTAATGGTAAGTACAAAATATTCCATAAATATATGTATAAAATATTATATAACTAAGTAAATTTAGTCGAAAATTCCCAAGAAATTCCGAGTATTGGAAATTTTTGAAATTTTTTAAAATCAACGGAAGTAACTTCAATAAGTTCGAGATACTTTGAAATAAGTTCGAAATACTTTGAAATACTACTAGCTATAATTTGATGAATAAAGTTTAGTTTAGAATGCCAAGATACTTACAATCTAATGTATGATAGTTGCCCATACTCATATTGGAAGGTAAGACAATTGACGGGTAGCAGTATTACTTTAGCTAGCTATATTTAGAATAACTTCATCATAATAAATGCCAATTATAACAAATGAAAGCAATTTTTTGAAGTTGATCATTTCAAATATTAGTTTTGAATCCGCAAATGACATTGTCTATCATTTATAGCACTGTCATACGGGACATTTCGCATCGCCATGCGTCACTTCATATCACACTGTGATGGCAGAGTTATGGTGGCATCATCACACTATAAAGAGTGAGTGACATGGATCGCGCACACTGCTCTAAACATCCTATCACTACATCATTGTTCTTTCTCTTTCCTTTCTTATCGTATCCATATTATTTGTTGTTTATTAGAAACATAAATAGTTTGCTTATTCTTTAGTTTTTGAAATTTTCCTTTTTTTTTCATATTGTTTTTGATGTTAGCAACATTATTATTAAACTTATATTTTTTGACCAAAGATCAGAGCGTACTATATTATGTTAGAAGTTCTATTAATGTAATGTTTCCAAGCATAATTTTATCGCTGATCTTACAAACTAGAAAATCTAACGGTGTACAAATATAAACATTTAAGAAACAATCGAAATTTCTCTATTTTCTGCAACTTTTTATAGATTAAAGGAAGTCGGTAATTTCTGAATTGTTCATTACTATCATAAGATTCTTCTTCTCTCTCTCTCTCGCTTCACCTTAATTCTCGGATTTTGTAAACTGCATATTTAATAAGCTATGCTTTAGAAGGTTGAGTGGATTTTTAAGTTTTTCATATAACATATTGTTTTCCAGCGCAAACATAAACTTATTACTGCAGAAATCTGTATGTCATAATTTAAGGGAAATAAAAGAGCAAATGTCGATGAATGATTTATCAGCAAGATATGGAAAATTGGATGCATTTGAAATTGAAAAGAAAATTGGTAAAGGACAGTTTTCGGAAGTGTATAAGGCGCGATGCAAGGAAGATGGTAGCTATGTTGCATTGAAGAAAGTTCAGGTTATTATTTGCTGAGGGTTTATTGTAATAAAATTTCATCTAATATTATTGACCATTTAGATATGCTCTTGCGATCTGATAAGAAATTGACTTTATTTGAAGGTGTTAACCTTTATTTCATATTTGAGTATTTTGCGGTATATTTATGCTAAGGTAATGAAGAGTTTTCTTTTATTTCCTTTGTAACAGTCGATATAGTATCGAAGCATTCGCCAATGGAAAAAACTGAAATTCTTATAAGCAAGTAAGTTATGAATCATTCTTGCTCGTTTTTATGAGTAAGTCTTTAACGTCCAAAAAATTCCCTTCTCATTACCAAAGCATCATCTGAATTTCCTTAAATCCTTTATTTTTATATTCCTACTTAAGGTTTATGATATGGTTGATGCGAAGGCTCGACAAGATTGTATCAAAGAAATTGATCTTTTAAAGCAACTGAATCATGTTAATGTTATCCGATACTATGCTTCGTTTATCGAAAACAATCAGTTAAACATTGTTCTAGAGCTAGCGGACGCAGGTGATCTAAGTCGTATGATAAGGGTTAGTTCATGAGGTTTTCCTTTCAAATACAAAAATTATTACATCCGTATATGTAATATTTTGGGTTTATAATGGAAATGAGGCATGTGATAAAGTGAGATTGCCTGTGCGAAGAATGTTAAGAGGTGTGCTCAGCATTTATCACTGCCATATTTCCACATTAATGGTATTGTAGCTTTCTTAAATTTTTGCTATTACGCTCGTTCTTTGCTGCACTCACTATTTCTTACCAATTTTAAGCTTGAATTTTTTTGTATTTTTATAGCATTTCAAGAAAAATAGGCGTCTTATTCCTGAACGCACCATTTGGAAATACTTTGTACAATTAGTGCGTGCACTGGAGCACATGCATTCGAAACGAATCATGCATAGAGGTAGGTTCCACTTAACAGCTTATCAATATCAATAAGAATGTCTTATTCATAAGTTAACTGTAAGCGATTAGTTTCATTCTTAATTCTAGTCTATGTTATTTGTTTCTCTTTAACTACTCGTTACATGTAGTGTTCATCCGTAAATTGTTTGTTATCACAGAAGAGCATATTTCTTACGTAAATCATATGATGTACTGTGCAGATATTAAGCCAGCCAACGTGTTCATTACTGCGGATGGTGCTGTCAAGCTTGGAGATCTTGGCCTTGGCAGATTTTTCAGTTCGAAAACTACAGCGGCACACTCTTTAGTTGGTACACCGTATTATATGAGTCCCGAAAGAATACAAGAGAATGGGTATAATTTTAAATCAGATTTGTGGAGCATTGGTTGCTTATTATATGAGGTAAGTTGGTTCATCTCCATTTCTGCTAAAACTTGAATGCATGAATTATTTTCTTTCTTAATCCTTATTCTATCTCAAAATTTGATCTAAATATCTTATTACTTTTGGGAGCTGGTATAGTTGAACAACAGTTAACTTGAGCAAAGATACTATCGTATGTTGACTGTAAGATCGAAATGAATTCAATGAGCAAAACTTGACGAACAGATGAGATAAAGAATAATTGAAAACTCTGTCATGAACTTGCTGGTCATTCAATTCATTATCCTGCATTGAAGAAATATTTTCCGCTCATGTTTTTCCATATTTGAAATTTTTGCAGATGGCTGCGTTACAATCACCATTTTATGGTGATAAGCTGAATTTATATTCACTGTGCAAAAAGATTGAAAATTGCGAATACCCACCTTTACCAGCTGATATTTATTCACAACAGGTTCTATTCTTAGTATATTATGTCAGTTTTACATTATTATCCAAGTTTGAAATAGCCGGATTTGACATTTACAGGTTTCATCACTAATTAGCATAACGAGTAAATTTGATGGGTGGTTGTATTATAAAAGTAAGTACTGTTTTCAGTTGCGTGATTTAATATCTCGATGCATTTGTTCGGATCCAAGTAAGCGTCCTGATGTTGCTGAAGTACTTAATATTTCGGAACAGATGAATACGCATTTTCAGGTAAACATTATTCATTATCATATATTTGAGCCTTATGATTTTTTCAATTTTTTATTCCTCATATTTAAAAGTTGTGTTCATTTTTCTTTCTTTATCATCCAGCATTCATTATCTTTGCTGCTTAAATATGACAATTACTATATTTCCATGCATAATTTACTTATTGCAGTCAGCAGGAGCAAAAACCATTATAAGACCCCATTATCGGAACCGAAGTGATGCTGACTCAAGTACAGAAACTGCCGTTGCTTTTAGTTCTTAGTGTATGCACTTGAAAAACAAATTGAAATAGATTGCTCTGTTGATGCTTCTTTGTAGGTACTTATTGACTCTTTTTTCGCAAACTATATATTTTTCCAGTTCCTTTGTTCAAAAATCTTTACTTGATATTCTCATTTACAAAAACATAAAGTTATGGATAAAGAGTTTTATTGTCATCTTCATATAGTAAATACTACGATATTTACGCGGCGAAAAAAAAAAAAAAAGAAACATGACGAAAGTATGTACCTTAGTTTTTAACCAATCAAAGAAACATTGCTCTTTGTTAAATGGAAGGCTTAGTGTTTCGAATATACTTTCACAACCTAACAACAAGCGAGATCAGCATAAGATATCAGCAATTAGTATCCTAAATTTGTGTCCGCCATTTATTCTATTTCTGTTTGCAAGTCGTTGAAATTTTGGTCTCTGATATCACTCATTTTGTATACGAATATATATGAAAGAAATAAGTTTTGTTTATATGACTGTGAGATTTCATTTTTACTTTTGAAGTCTCATTTTTCCTGTTGTATTACTTTGCCTGACTTCAGTAATTAATAGATTTACTGATTGTGGAAAGAATCGGAAATAAAAAAATGTGAATTCCATCAATGAACTGTTTTTTGTATTTCATTGCAAATCCGAAGTTGAGGATTATTCTTAAAACTTTGGCAGTTGCATTCAGCATTGAGAAGATCTAAAGACACGTTGCTAAAAATTCTCGATGAAGTTTTTGTAAAGGATATTTTCAATGAAATTACTAGAAAAATTGTCAACTTTTTTAGCATAATGATGAGAGTTTCTGGAATAGTATGATTATTCATATTTTTCTTCCTTTTGCTCTATTTGGCCTGGTTTTTTGTCAGGGTTGCAGTTGGATCGATGCGATAACGATACGTAAAGTTGATATAAAGGTTTGTGTAGATTTTAACTAAATAGCATAGAGCTTTCTACGCCACTTTTTTTATTTTTTGAATTCGAAATCCTTATTTAGTAGTAATACCTATGTCAGTTAACAACCACAGTTTTGTTTTTTATTTAGTGTGCGATCTTTTTAATCTAAAGTATCTAATTTCATGGCCGTGGAAATGGTTTCCATCGGCATCTTCAGTTGGATGTTAATATCGGTAGTGCAAATCGATTTATGGATTGTTTAATTGCCTATAAATTTATGATTCCTGCAGGTGCATATGTCGATCTTGACAGGTATTCATTTGAGGTTTTTTATATATTACAATCTTCTAATGCTAGCAGACAGTTGTATTTTTTGAACTTTTTAAAAGCTCTAGAAGACTCTGTCATTGTTATGTTGTGACAACCATCTAAACTGCCACTTCTATACAAAAAGTTCACGAAATTTTGTTAACACTAATTGGCCATTAGTTAGCTATGATTACCTTTGGGCAAGTTTGCAGAAATAAAACGTTGCAAACAAATTTGCTCTGCCTTATTGTTTTAGAACTATTCACTTTATTACCCCGAATACTATGATGCTAAATTCATTAAGTATGTGTCGGCACCATGTGAAAAAAAAAAGAAACTTCCATTTCATTTCTTGTAAGGAAGGAAAACAATTGAAACTTTGACAAAAGCAGTATTGCAGCATGAAAGAATATCCAACTCATACATGTGAAGAAGTATCATTCGATGTTGAGGCTTCAAGAGAGAAATCGGAAAATACGCCACTTTATGTGTGTTCAAAACGAGGATTACGAAAAAATTTTGTTCACAAAGAGCATTTTGAACTGGCAATACATTTGCGTTATCATGCTGCTACCGGAACAGGTTTCCTTTTTGTTTTCCAGTCACTAAAATAGTTTGTCAACTTTAATTAGCTGTCGAGTATTATGCATATCACTGCTATTTCATATCGAATTTTATCTTTTACGTTACCAGTTGTTCGATTGTTGCCATTTCATTCAATTTGATATTCTTTGATAAGTCATCTTACGAGAAAATGAATCAACTAATAAGGGAAAAAGGTGTTTGTTTACATTTTCAAAAATATCCCTGAATGGATTTTAATTTCAGATGCAATAGTTACAATATCGGCTCCACAGCTGCTTTTAAGATGCGTGGAAAATTCTACTTTCCTGACAAGCCATTGCAAGAAGTATTTAGTTAAAGTATGAATTAAAACTAATTACTTGATATATTAAAATTTTCTGGTCAAATTAATCCCATCATTGATGGGATTTACTGACTCATGTTTGGAATCACTTATAATGATGATGTTGACAGTTTTTTTTTGAAACACCGTTTATACGTTAGCTCAAATTTCAAGCTATTTTGAATAAATTTCAGCTATTTCGAATAAATTTTCGTTTTCTATAAATTTCTTTCCTTTTTTAATGTTTGTTTTTTGTAGGCATCTTGTGATTGTTCAAACCAATCACACTGCGAGTGGTTGATGATACCGTTTTTGGAGTATAACACAGTACAGTTCAAAGTACCAACTGGAAATGCGTCTTTACTAAAATTCGTTTTATTTATTACTATTTTCGTTGTTATTTGCTGTGCTATAACGATTGTTTTTGCTACAATGAAAAATGTAATGAAAGTGAAAATTGAGTGATATATCAAAGTGTTCCATATTTCATTTATGTAATACAATGTTTTCGTGCATTTCAAAATAGAGCCATTCAAAGCGTTCTTTCCTAGACTTGTCGCGAATTTCGAATATCGCGAAGCTCCAAATGAAATAAAATGATTAAATAAACCAATGTACTAATTAATCACACAAATTGTAACAATGTCATGAATCATTCAATCATTTTACATTCCTCAAATTCATTGTCTCATGCGTTTTTCTTTGTTATCTTTATTTAAGTTCACATCCTTTCCTTTTTTTATGGAAGCAAAGCACACTTATAAGCTAGATTTCTTTGTCTAAGAACCAATCTTAATTGCAATGCTTAATGTTGAAAACAGAGCCTTTTGTTGTAATCAGATTTTGACAGTTTTTCTTTATCCAAAAGGAAATCTAGTTAATTAAAATTGTATATATACTCAAAGCTATAACTAGATGATCATCATTTTCCTTTTTAAACACTCAACCAAGGACTGCACCGTACATTGTATCCTCTAACTCTCTTCGTTAAATATTTTGACTACTATCCTCTGTGTTATTACAACCTATCCTCTGCGAATTAATTAACTTCCTCCTGAACCAAAACAAAAGAATACCTTCTCAGAATATTCGTCTGTGCCTAAGAATATACCCTTCCAAATCAAACCCGACAAACCAAAAACTTTTATTTCAATTTTTCCTACAAGGCTTATATATGGTAGAGGCGCGTGCGTAATTCCGATTAATAAGTTGTGTGCTTATTTCCGTTACTATACGACGTTGTATAATATCATATGCCATCATTAAATTGTTAATGTATTCTGATGTTTTACGTGTAGAATGTTTGAACCATACAGTGATCTCTTTATACTTCAATATTATATATTAGTAAATTTTTTAAGTTATAAAGCTAAAATAAATATTTGTTTATTAGTATCACAAATTTTTTTTTTCCCAAGAATTTGAAAAATTGATCAGTTTTCAGCGATTTTTTTTTTTTCGGCAATATATCATACAGCATGAAACATTGGATTTTATTATATAACTTGCATGGAAATACAAAATGGAAATATTAAATTAAATTTCGAAAGAGAAATGAAAAAGGTAGGATTTATTATGCATAGCTTATTCTGAGATGTGTTAATAAAGAGATGAGGAATAAATTGATAGTAAACAAATGAATCGAAAGTTGATCAGTAAGTATATCGCATCAATTAATCATACTAAATTAGAAATTATGCATTTTGAACAAATATCCAGGTAACATGTTACACTTCTTTATTATCTTAATTGATATATATATAGTTTCAGATGGACCACCAGATTAGCATCAATTGTATGAGGGCTAAAATGTTTTTTGCGACAATGAGACGAGATTTGATGACGAGCTGTAAGTGTCACATAATATTGTGGTGCTATTTAGATGAAAGGCCTGCAATGAGATCCAGAGGACTACTGTTGATGGTTGATTCATGTATGCATTCATACCATCTGAAAATTGAATAATTTATATATATATATATTTTTTTTCATTTAATTCATAAATTATCATTTCTTTCCTAGCGCGAAATTTTTTAAGAATGTTTAAACTTTTTCTCCAAAAATATCGAAATTTATGGGTTTTTAAATTTACTTACAACACATTTTTTAAATTTGTCTTCCCAAATTTCTTATTCATAAATGATTTATTGGGGAAAGTTATATGAAATCTCATGCTAACTTAAAATTTTATTTTGATTTCAAATTTTGTTTTAGGATTGTCAGTTTAATATGTAGAACGGGATTAATAGAGGATAAAAAGCGAATATCATATAACTCTCCAACGTTCAGATAAGAAATTACTGTAGAAGTAACGGAACAACATAAATTACGAAATACCAAAATAAATTTCCTTTAAAGATAAAAAATCTGTTGGCAAACGTACTTTGAGAAAGCATACAGACTATCAGCTCGAAAGAAATAACAATGGGTATTATATGATACTTTGAAAACGTTATCATAATCAATTTTATCACTAAGTTGTGGCAACGATATGTGATAATTGATGATTGGTAATATCGCTACCGGTTTATGCTCCTAAAATTCAATTTATCAGTTAGTAATTTTAACGTCAACTATTTAGTGATTTGTTTTGATCTATTCGTTCCTTGACTGATTAGCTTATCTGATCTGAGTCTTGCAATCTGAAGCTTCGCTTTTTCCTAAGCCTGTTTTGTGATCAGACATATTTTATAAAGGTATGTTTTAGAATGATGTTCGTTCCTCATTCATTAACTGTGAATTCGTTAATTAGTTAGCAATATAAGCCATCTGGCATTCTATACATAGTATACAATTGCATTTATGTTGCTACCTGATGTGATCTAAAGAATGTAAGTGCAAAATTTGCATGCACAACCCAAAATTTTTGCCATCCTGCGGAATTGCGGAATTTACGCAACAAATATCCAGACATTTGATTGGCCGGAGCCTGAAGAAATAATAAATAAGATTTGCAAATTAAATTTTTAAAATTGAATGCAAACAAAAAATATGAAATAATAAATCATTTAAATCAGTTTCTATAAAACTAAGATTTAACCCTTGCAACTTTAAACTTTTGATAGATCAATTGAAATAGATATACTACTTTACCGCAATAATTGCATTAATTCCTAAAGTGGCATGACGATACCAACATACATCCAATGTACTATATGGCATAGTTGGAAGAACTTTTGTACCTGAAATTAAACAACTATAATTGATCTTCTATAAATATTTGATGAATTTTATTGGAATTTGAATATTTCGAGAAATTTTTTAATTTGCTTAATTCATACATATCACTTAGCAGCGTAATTTAATTTAAGGCACTAATTTAATTGGAACTGAGACAGAATTAATTTAAATAATTAAAATGAAAGATTTGAAATAATTATTAAATTCTAAAAATGATAAATAGCAACAAACCAAATATATTGGTTGATTCATATGTATCCCACATATCATAACTGTGTGTAAATTTATCATTTAAACTTCCTTCCATAATTACTACAATTATCATAACAAATTAATTATGTTTCATTTTGAACAAGAAAATAAGTAATGAAGAAAAATCAAATTAAATTTAAATATAATAATTTAATATTTCAACATTTCAATCATTTACTTTTTCTAATAAAAAGTTGAATAAAACAAAAAATTTTAATTAACCAAATGTTTCAGTTTGAGGTAATTCTTCAATTCTGGAATGTTTAGCATTTCGAATAGCTTTTGTTAATTCTTCAAGCCAAAGATCTCGAACTCTTGTACAATCACCGGATAGTAAAAATGTCCGGCTAACTGCTTGTATTGTAAAACAAATGGTTGGATCGATGGTAACATGTAATGCATCGCCTTCTTCTATCTGCAAAATTTGCATATTATCAAAGTCAACTACTATTTTATATTTATCTAAAAATACAAAGTAAACTTAATTATTCAAAATTTTACTGTCATTCCTCGTAACGGTAAAAAAGCATTGCGTATAAAACCATCTGTTTGTGATCGATAAGCAAATAATAGAGCATCATTAAAAAGTATCACTGCATAAGGTATAAAACCACGTTTTGTCCATTTGCATAACCATCCTTGACGTATGAATCTCTAAAAATTAAACTTTGACCTTATGATATTTTTACTTTCAACATTCATCCTGTTGGTAAATGTTACAGTTACAGATTGTAATATTTTCTGCTACAATATCTAAACAACTGAACGATTGGTGACATAATTAACCTGGAACATATAAGCATTCTATCAACCAAATAAACTTTTGCCAGCATTTAATTAATTAATATTTGTTTTGGTTTTGTAATTAAATAAAAATTCTTTTATTGCAAATTGTGAAACAATAATTGTCTTATTTCAGTTAGAATTCTACAACAAATTAATTCCAATAATATTCAGTTTAACTAATTAATATGGGATGATAAACAAATGAGTTGTATAGAGTGAAATATTTGAAATGTACGGGATCTATTAAAGTGAAATATATAAAAATAATTAAATAATGAAATTTAAAAAATAGTATTAAATTTAAATATGATGGAAATGCATAAAGTTTTCTCATAAAGGTAACTTTTATTTATTACAAAAAAAAGAAAAACAATGAAATTACTCGATTTGGATCGGTTAAGCCATCAACAATATTCAAATCATTTCCAAGTTCAACAAATTTCGCAAAATGAACCAATCCTTCAAGTGTCGATTTTTTTTCAGCATTAAATGATGCAACCTAAATAAATGTTTATTAAAAAAAAAAAAAAGCATAATATTAAAAGAATTGATAAATGGTTCGAATCATCCGAATGGTCAGTTGTTTTAGAAAGTCCATCCATCTAAAGAATTATGTCTACCAAAAAAAAAAAAAACAGAAAAGCATATTGTAAATAAATAATTGAATTTGAATAAATTTCATTATTAACCTTTTCCACGGCAACTCGACAACTACTTAGCTGTGGCGCTATTGTCTCTTCATTACTCTCTTCCAAAAGCGCAGCAACCATTCTTCCAAGTAACTAAATTGGCACCACTAATTATATGTTTTCATCTATAAAATTTAATGCTAAAAAACGAATACCTACCATCTTTGGTTTTTCCTTTTTTTTTTCTTTTTTATATTTAATGTATAGTAGTAAGTTGAAGTAAATTTTACTTAAGCGTAAATAAATATTAAATTTATTTTTGAAAACTTACCCTCTGCCATACAACCATTCGATGTACCACTTTTAGCATTAAAAAATTAATGCTACAACTATAAGAATTTCGTATTTGAAGTTTAATGAGAGAATTAGCAAAAGTGCTATTAACACGAGTTAATTCATCAATAGCTGCGAGATAAATTGGAGAATTTTGTACAAATTTCCTGTAAATCAGTAAAAAAAAAACTGGAAATATTATCATTAATTGAAAACTGGAAACATTATCATTAATTGAAAACTGGAAACATTATCATTATCATTAATTCAATTATTACTAATTTCTTGATCTTTGATCTAGGCTCTACTTGAACTATTGAAAAAAAAAACAAGAGAATATATAATTGTAGTAAAAGATTAATCAATGTTATGTAGTATGAAATTTACAACTTGAATTTCAAATTTTAAAAATTTGAAATAGATTATCAAACCAACAAATTGTAGATTACAGCAGAATTCATTTGAAAAAAGTACTTACTGATAATAAAGTTAAGAAAGTAAGGAAAGTATTACTGATAACATAAAGTTAGAAAAGC